TCCAAAATTATAAAAAACATTTGTCTCATTTCCCATTATTTACTATTTTTCATCGGTTTAATTTTTTATTTCCAGGGTTGTAACCCAACAACAGTACACAGTTTAAAACCCTTAAAAACAATACAATTTTAATCATTGAATAAAAAACGGGGAATCACCTAAAATTGGGTAATTCCCAATATTTTCAGATTTTCAAGGTTCGTTATTTGGTCTGTGGTTTATTTTGTAACTAAATGTGAGTATAATTGTATGTTTCGAACAAACATAAGAAAAACAACAATATAATGGTTAACAAACGATGTGACGGAGGAAACGATTACATCAAATTATCTAATATTTTAACTAATTATCAGTTTTTATTTATTTTAACAAAAAAATAATAACCATTGATTACATAAAACGACAATCATTTAAAAACAAACAGGGTCGCTAATAACAACAGTATTAAATAAAATAAACAGTTAAAAAAACTTTAAAATTTTTTGTCTTAAACGATTTTTTGATGCTGTTTTTATTCATTCATATTTTTCATATTTATCCAAAACACAATTTGGTGATTCTATAAAAACTGATATCTATTTATAAAGTCGTGTTTTAATTTTTGGCAAAATTTGTGTTATGGTAATTAAAATTTATATCCCAAGTTAGTTTTTTATATTTTTCAAGTAAATTTTTGGTGCTAGATTTTTTTTGTCAATTAAATGTCTAAAAATTCAGGTTCGTTATTTTGTTTTTTTCGTGTAAATGTTTATAACAAAAAATGAGGGTTAAGCAAAGAAAAAAAATAATAAGTTTAATAAATTGGGGCGTCCCAGTACAGAGTTTTGAAAATGGTTTACTTTTTGTTGATAATTACATACAAGTGAGATATTATACGATTATTTTTTTAACTATCATTTTAATATTTTTCATGTTACAACACACAACAGTAAAGACATGTATTTTGATAAAACCACAACTATTATGATTAATAAAATAAAGCAGTTATTAAATTGTATTTTCAATAATTTTATAACAATAGTTAGTGAAAATGTTTTACTGGTTATTGTTACGCTTTCATTCTAAACCAGTCCAAATTATAAAATGTGGTAATTTTCGAGTATGTAAACATGTGAAATCAAACTAAAATTTAAAACAATAACACTAAAATTAATAGAATGTCATTATTTACTAAAATTATATGTTATGATTTGTAATATGTGTGTATGTGAACATAGAATATTAAAACTGATTTTTTAATTGTCTTAAGATTTAACTTTTCCGATACCAAAAATTTTTGAAAAATGTAAACTTATTTTTATCTTATTCATTTGAATCTTTATTAAAAAAAATA